TCGTCAATGTGATATTATTGTTAGTGAAGTATCGATGATTCGTGAAATACGTGAACGAGAAATTCGAATTTATTCTGATGCGGGACGAATATGTCGACCGTTAATGATTGTTGAAAAACAAAAATTACTTTTGAGACAAAGACATGTTGATGCATTGAAAGAAAGAGAATATACAAGATTTGGGTAAGTGTCAAGATATTTCAGTGGATCATCATCTCCATCTTAATTCAACTTGTTTCATTTAATGTGTTTAGATGGCAAAATTTAGTTGCCGAAGGTGTTGTTGAATACATCGATTGTTTGGAAGAAGAAACGAGTATGATTGCAATGACACCCGAAGATCTATTAGCAAAGGATAATCCATATTGTTCAACTTATACACATTGTGAAATTCATCCATCAATGATATTAGGTATGTAGTTTACGTTACACTATGCATCGTATTTAAAAATTAAACAGTCAGATGAATAAAAGTGGTACTTGAAGATGAAATTTAAAAAGCGAAGTTTATAATGTATAAATCAGATGATTTTTAGTTATATGTTCTTGCTTTGTCTAGGTGTTTGTGCCAGTATTGTTCCATTTCCTGATCATAATCAATCACCCCGTAATACATATCAAAGTGCTATGGGTAAACAAGCAATGGTATGTTGAAATGAAAATTTATGCACATTCGAGATATTTACATTAAGATTGTTTCTAATTTAGGGTGTTTATATAACAAATTTTCATGTTCGAATGGATACATTAGCTCATGTTTTATTTTATCCACAAAAACCGCTCGCAGCCACTAGAGCCATGGAGTATTTGAGATTTCGAGAATTACCAGCAGGTACGTGCCAAATTGGTTATAAGAAATAGCATTAATTATAAGTTTTGTATTTTTTCAGGAATAAATGCTATCGTTGCGATTGCGTCTTATACTGGTTACAATCAAGAAGATTCAATTATATTGAATTGGAGTTCAGTTGATAGAGGATTTTTTAGGCAAGAATTTTAACAAAATAGTAATTGTCTTAGAAATATTGTGATTGAGTTGTATTATTTACATATTTAGATCGGTATTTTGGCGTTCATATCGTGAATCTGAAACACAACGTGGCGCTGATCATAAAGAAACAGTTGAAAAGCCCGAACGAACGTCTTGTGTAGGAATGAGACATGCGATTTATGACAAATTGGATGATGATGGAATTATAGCGCCAGGCATTCGAGTATCCGGAGATGATGTACTTATTGGAAAAACCGTTACATTACCTGATACCGAAGATGAGGTGAGTCTGTGTTATATTACGAAGAACTAAGTCAAGCACGTACCTTGTGAGCAGGTTAATCTCGAATTTTCTTACATTATTAAAGATTAGAACCTTCTCAGCATTCTTGTCTGGTAAAGTAGAATAGCAGCGTGGCTCAGTCGACTAGTAGGCAGACAACGTACTGCAAAGATATGGGGTTCGAATCCCGGCAACGGCAGTCGCGTGATAGTCTTCGACAAGCTATATAATGCTCATTGTCTTGGTACCTTTAGGCACAGATGCAATGGGATAACCCGATTTCAGTAACCATTCGACTGGAGAGATGAGAGTTATAGTCTAAAAAAAAAGTAGAATAAATAGGTAAAAAAAATTAGATATATGCTGATTTTATCTAATCGAGATCTTTGAGCGGGATAAATCTATATTTATTTCGTCCTGATGCCCTCGAAAATTAATTAACAACATGGTTAACCACCAAATGAAGTTAATATTATACTGATTTGGTCACCTTGTTATAACATATTCAATCTTTACATATATCTAGAATCTAAAAACTCCTCTAATCTATTTTTAGCTCAATAGTAAAAATAAACGTTTCATTAAAAAAGATGCCAGTGTATTTATGCGTCAAAGTGAAACGGGAATTGTTGATCAGGTACATTTTTCTGTAACGTAAATAGTTTGTTTATTATACTGTAATTATTTTTTGCTACAGGTATTATTATCGATTAATGATGAAGGTTATAAATTTGTTAAAGTTCGAATTCGTAATGTTAAAATTCCACAAATTGGTGATAAATTTGCTAGTCGACATGGTCAAAAAGGAACATGTGGAATATTATACAGAATGGAAGTAAGTGATAAGGACATATAACTAGATGCGCTGATAAATGAAAAATCAAATAAGTGTTTGACGAATGAAGACTGATCAGGATACACCATATGAACTTTGAAACACTGTACATTAAGTTCAAGCAAATACTGTTACATTTTAGGACATGCCATTTACTAGTGAAGGTATCACTCCTGATCTAATCATTAATCCACACGCTATTCCATCTCGTATGACTGTTGGTCATTTAATTGAGTGTCTTCAAAGTAAAGTGGCAGCAAATAAAGGTGAAATTGGTGATGCTACACCATTCAATGATAATGTTAATGTTAAACATATGTCAGAAATGTTACAAGAATATGGTTATCAATTGCGAGGAAACGAGGTGATGTATAACGGATTTACTGGTAGAAAAATGAATTGTCAGATATTTTTGGGACCAACATATTATCAACGATTAAAACATATGGTTGATGATAAAATACATTCGAGAGCAAGAGGACCAGTACAAATTTTGAATCGACAACCGATGGAAGGTAGATCAAGGTAAGAGAGAAAGAGAGTGTAACAGACTTAAAAATATTGATTACAAATTTTCTAACTTTTTTTGTTCATTTTGTTTTATAGAGATGGTGGTTTACGTTTTGGTGAAATGGAACGTGATTGTCAAATATCACATGGTGCCGCTCAATTTCTTAAAGAACGTTTATTTGAAGTATCTGATCCTTATCGTGTACATGTTTGTAATATTTGTGGACTCGTTGCCGTAGCAAATTTAGCAGAGAAAACTTATTCTTGTAAAGCGTGTTCAAATACAACACAAGTAAGAGTTTCATTTTCATTTACATTGAAATACCCATAATTTTTGTTGTCTGTTTAGATCTCACAAGTGCGTTTACCCTATGCGTGTAAATTATTATTTCAAGAACTTATATCAATGGGTATCGCTCCAAGAATGTTAGTCGATTAATGTTTTCTCCAACCTAAAAAACGTTTTGTATTGTAATAGAAAATATGTGTTTTCTCCTGTTATACTATATTAGTCTTTTTGTAAATTAAAACTAATCAACTCATTGATAAGAAACATAGTGGAAGAAAGTTCTGACAACAAAATTAAATACCTTTTAAACAGATTTGATTGTGAATTAGTCGAAGAAACTAACGCTTACAAACACTAGAGCAGTAACAGATTCGTAAAGACTTTGATCCTGATTGCGCGATAGCTTTAATGCAATGAATTATACACCGCTCGTAATTTTTTCAGAAGGTAAGAGTTAATATTAAATTCTATTTGTAAATTTAGCAATTCCTCCTTATATGTTAATTTGACCATTTATACTTATCAACCGTAGTTAACATTAATTCGTTTTATTAGAGTCGGATATTCTTTGAGCTCAGCTCATAGAAGCATCGAACTAGGGTTGCAAAACTATTGTACTAACGATGAGTTCACAAGAATAAAATTGGTTAGGCGAGTGCACTATTGTTTTCTTCTTCGCTGTTTGATTTTAACTCTTATACAAGATTTATATATAGCAAAACGTCTCAACGATTTGTTGACATGTTGTTTGAACCTTTTGTGGGAGACTGAACAAAAATCAGACGAATTTACGAAAATTTTATATTTTTATTTTTTTGTACTAAAATAAATCTTGATAGTGTATGTGGAACATAGTATAGCATGTAATGCATGTTCCCCATGACAAAACTTATTTTCAAATGAAAATTTTTCTTTTTTGTAAGGCTATGAATCATCACACGAGAAAATAGTAAAATAAGAATACAATACGATGTACGGATTATATTAAGATGGAGCTGAAAATGGTTCACTATATTGTTTGAAAATGAGACACTGTTCACTATTATATATTTCTTCATATTCAAAGTTGAAAATAGATATACGATGATAATCTAATAAACAAATTATCCTCATAAAAATTATTTTAATTTATCTATTTTTAGTACAAAAAACAAAATTTTTTAAGTAAAAACACAGAAAAATGATTGATGTCTATAAAAGAAAAGATATTTATTCTTAATAAATAATATTCTTACACGGGTAGATTTGATCAAATTTTAACATATCAGTTATACTTGATAATAAATAAATTACTGTTCACGATTACTATTAAACATTCGTATTGATACTGGTTCAATGGAAGCACTTTTATCATTCTTGTGACATAAATAATACTCGTATCATAATGGAAAAATTTTCGTTGGCAACCAGAATTATTTATTTTTTTGAAAATATTATTCATTTAATGTTTGTACATCAATTCGAAATGTAACTGACAGACAGTCGTTGACGTTTTAACGCTATATATTCACATTTGTCAGATCAAAGTTCATTACTTAAGATTACACGCCTCTGTTGTCGAAAAATATGGATAACTTGAAATCATGTAGTTAGATTCAATAGAAATATTAAAATCTAAAGCCATTTTTATTCAGTCTACGTATTGAGCAATTCATAAAATGATTTATAAATAAGTAATATATACATTTTAAATTAGATGAAGTTTTTCTTGATATAACGGTTGTAAACTTCACACGCCCTTAACTAGCTATCGTTATTTGGCTTGGTTAATAGAATACAAAGAAATAATGGACCGGTTATGCGATTTGGCATATTACAATAAACATGGAAATTTACTAGCAGCAGTGAATCTAGAATACACATCTTTTATATCTAGATATATGATATAATTGATACCATGTTATTAATATTTCATCATTTGATACGACTTCTAGTTTTGTTTTAATATAAGAAGGATTAACAAAACCTGTGGCAGCAACTGAAATGAAAATTAGAGAAAAAAAAAATAGAATTATTAATCTACTTTCGTTGTTCAGTGAAATACTACGATAAACTTCTCGATACTATTTCTGATTCCTTGCTTATCAATGAGTTTTGATAAACTTACTTTGTCCCGCAGCTTGAAAACATCGTTGTTGGATAAAATCATTATTCTTAGAATCAACATTATCCATTTGTTTCAATGCAACAAACGATATTTCTCCTCGTGGTACATTTGGATCACCAGTTATCTTTGTTGCTATTAAAACATTCTCAAGTACTTTATCTGATATTAAGCATTCCTTGCCTAATGACGTGGGACAGACAAAATTAGTAATCGAATTTAAATAGAGAAATTCTAGGCCATGTGTTGAATAAGTACCCACCCAAATCCCTTTTAAACATGACAATGACCATTCACGGGAAGAAAATGGTATCTGATTCTCATAGATCGAATAACAAATGGGATGATATATATCCATTTTAAGAGAACAGTTTGTTGTAAAATATAAATCATCAACTTCTTCGTTCAATATGGTATGTTCTGCCATCAATAAAGCGGGTGAATTGTTCAATGGTACTCGTTTTTTTCGTACATAATTAATGTCCATAGAATGTGACCCATTATCATGACCTAAACATAATTTTTCGTTTTCGTTCGGATTAATTTGAAATAATTTTGTTCTTTCATATTTTGGTTTTAGTTTTGAAATCAGATTATATTCATTTTCGCCTTCAAATTCATCTTCATCTCCATCCAAACCACGGCTAAGATTGTTAATAGCTTTTATTTTTTCACCAATAATCAAACCCGAATCCAAACACAAATAAACATGTACAAGTCCACCATAGACAGGAGTTGATTGACTCCAATAACCAAAATATTTACCATAAGGACTAAGAACAGTTGTAAACAAACTAAAAAGAAAAAAAAAACAAATTATATATTAAGTAATAGTAACAGCCAAAATAGACACAGAATATGGGCATTATAAAAATAATTAAAAGTAGTTTTCGCGCTCCCTCTTCTTATACTTTTCAAAAATTATAATCATTTTGACTTTAAATTCTCTATAGATCATACCTGTAAAATGTGCTTTGATTTAAAACTAATGAGTTTATCTTGTAGAGTCGTCTGCAAAAAGCTTTCCATAAGTGATCATCTCTTGCTATTTTATAAAAATTGCAATTGACTTGTGAAAGTATACAAAGATCTTTTGGTTCCAGATATTTTACAATAGAAAATAGCAATTCAGGCGGTAAATCGTTAAGAGTAAGTGAGTTATTTTTGTCTGCATCCATGTATGCTCTTGTGATAAACACAATACAAATTTAGTAATCTGAAATTCATCAATGGCACAGAAGAGTATTGAGAGAGTTACTTATGAGACTTTCAAGACCTTTATCGCGCCAATGATCGATATATCATGAATCGTACAGTAGGTATTTTTGACTCGTGTCAAACAGATTTTTTAAGCTCAATATAATTTCCCATCGCTCAAAATATCTAGTTCACAGACAGAAAACTAAATTTTCTATAGGAAATTGAATGAAAGAGACTAGGAATGAAAAACATTTTTCTCAGAGATTGTTGTGTTCAGAAAAAGAGTTTTTCAAAAGACCCGTATTGCTCAAATGTGGTATACATAGATAAAATATATGTATTCATTGTACTAGTTGACTAATTCAGAGAAAGTCTGTTAACATAGAAATATAATTTTTTTCGTTCATGCTTTATATTTAATTTGGTTTTCTCGTTTACGTGTCACATTATTCACTTCAGTTAAAAAACGACTATTCTCATTTTTTGGCTAAATGCGCACGCTTTGGATCATCAGCTAAGTATACTACTACCTTTTTATTGGTATACAACCGAATATATTAGCATTACGATATTCCAGAGGGGAATTAATGCTCTCTGAAAAACTTTATCGCTATACTTTGAAAATCAAAGCTAAGAATTATAAGAAAATGAAGACTTTGCCTCCTACTGGACGAAAGAATTTTGATCCCCCCCTGTCAAAAGCCTTGGAGGATGTTTCATAACAATTCTTAAGTGTTCGACTTAAGTCTTCGTTTTGTACACTTAAGTCTGACTTAAGTCTAGAGTTAGTTAAATTGAGCACTTAAGAATTTTTTATGAAACACCCTCCTGAACACGCGCCTGTCATATATAGGGTTTTTCTGTTTTTCGTTTTCGATTTTTCTGCCATATAATCTCGAAGGCACAACGGGACAGTCTGGTGAAATAACTGTACTGGTTCTGTCAAGGAAAAAGTAGCACCATAGCTAAAATGTTCATATCCGACAGTAGCATGATCCCTTTCTGCTATTCCAGCATTTAAGAATATCAATTTTTTAATACTCTTCACTTGTTTCTCACGAAATACATAATATGCAAACAGGAAACACACACGCGTTTTTTCAGTACCCAGACTGTATAAATCAATGCTCTTCCGTTCAAAAATAATATTCTTGAAAATATTACGCGATTGACATAGCTTGTAACTGTCATCTATAGACTGACACGTTTCAAATTTTCTTGAGTTTTTATTGTGAATAAATGCAGAAATCAAAATTTGTTTGGAGAAATGCAAGTGTTTAAAATTCATATTTAATCTCTTTTTTTATATATCACAACACTGAAACTTCATATTTAATCTTTTTTTGACACAAACAGCTGTGTAGAATAAAATATTCAGACATATTCCAGCCACTCTTCCTTGAGAAGTTATAAGCAAGATCTCATTCACAAGAATTTTTATTAAAACTCGAAGGAACAATATTTTATAAACAAAAAGGCTTTCGAGATAGGGTCTAGTGTATGACAGAAACAGTATTACGACGCGCAAGCAGGGTGCACTGACGAGGGAACGTTCCCAACTGTCAAATCGCTTTCGAGACGAAATCTAGTGGACTATAGGTAGTCGATCATGCTGATTCCAAATATTAACATGAGACGGGCCACTAGACCTCCAGAGACTGGTTTTCTGGACAACCACTTTTTCAGAAACTCTAAAAAGTAACCAAAACCTTTCTTAATGAGGCATAACTGTAGCACGCACATTTCTGATTAAAATGAGACATCTTTCAGCTCTACACGACCTTTCTTTCCAAAGTTATAGAATTCACAACAAAAATCCTAAATGTTCATTGTCAGCTCAAAGCTACAGAAATAAGAAATTAATTTAGGGCTTTTCTTGTAAATTCTATAACTTTGGAAAGAAAGGTCGTGTAGAGCTGAAAGGGGATGTCTCATTTTAATCAAAAATGTGCGTGCTACAATTATGCCTCATTAAGAAAGATTTTGGTTACTTTTTAGAGTTTCTGAAAAAGTGGTTGTCCAGAAAACCAGTCTCTGGAGGTCTAGTGG